ACGTTATTTCAAATTCCTTAATTATTCTGTATACATCAATTTTCTAAAAAATTATAAAAAAATAAATCATTATAAAATATACGGAATTTTGATATAGAATCATTAATTACGTATACAAACCTTATAAAAAACGTATCATTTACTTATTTCGATTTCTTATAGGGATTATTTATGATATAATCAAGAATTTTTATTATATCAGATGTATTAGAACAGATTTTACATTTCTTAGTGATGAATAAATCCCTCTATTCTACTCTATATATTTCCTGATTGTGATACTATATATACTATAGGACAGATATTATGGAAACATATTGAATTATATTATCTAAAAATTTTTTTACATATATGTAAAGACTTGAAACCATTTCATTGGTAAATGTAAGAAATATCATCTTTCCATTCGTCGAATTAACAGATAGAGATATAGATAGAATTATATGCTCATATTCAAATATAGTATATTTAGATTTTAGTGCTATATGTAGACTAGGTATTAGTAATATCGCAATTATTAATTTGCACATTCATATCCAAATCTATTAAGGTTAGAACTTTTTGAATATGACTATATTAGCGATAGAGCTATAAAAAAAATAGTGAAATCATAGCGTAGATTAGAGCATCTTAACCTTGGAGTATGTGGCCTAATCAGTGAAGATACTATATGCATTATTATATGTTCATGTCAAAATCTTAGTTATCTAGATCTAATGTAATGTAGTATTAGTAATAAAACTATTAAGGAAATAGTTGAAATCATGTTATAAATTAGAACATCTTGATATATATGGCTATAATGGTGTTATTGAATTGGGTATTAGTGTTATAGCATGTTTATGTCTTAAACTCAAACATCTAGACCTTAGTAATAGTGAGATTGGTAATTTAGCAATCAGAAAAATTGCTCGTTCATATCATAATCTAAAATTTCTTAGTCTAGAATCCTGTAAAGATATTAGCAGAAATGTATTAGAAAAGCTTGATCAGAATATCAAGATAGAATGGCCTGACTCAGATAGTGATAATAAGTCAAATTTATCTAACATGAAGTAGTAATCACTAGCTCAGAATATTTTTTTGCTGAGTCATGCACAGCGTCTTTGGCCAAATTGTGTAACAAAAATAGGCAGATTATATAATAGGTCTGTGCAATATAATAATTTTCGCATATACTGAAAAGAAGCTATATATGCTACCAGTAATTTATTTTTTTATTATGTATAATTGATCTACAATATTAGCAAAATGTTTAATGAGAATATAGATGCTGAGAAGAAGAAAACATTTGATGAATTTACTAAAGAATATGGATAGAGAGAAGAGGATTAGACTATTTATGATGATGATTGATACGACTGAAACGACTTTTTTTGTGAAATTAAAACCTATTGGAATACAAACGCAGTCAAGTAATGGAGAGAGAAAATACTTAAGCGATTTGTATATAATCTACCCAGTGTAAGAAATCCAACATCATTATTCCATGCACTCTTACAATTCAATGTTATTTATCTCCTACAAATATTAAGTCTAATAGAATTGCCATATTATCCACTTTAACTTCAATCAGAAATATGAGATTCCTTCAGGACCTGATCGGATGGTATATATTGGTCAGTCTAAGGTCAGTGATCATCAGCTTAGAAGATTTTTTTTGTTGAGCTATACATAGCATCTTTGGCCAAATTGTGTGACAAAAATAGGCTGATCACATAATAGGCCTGTATGACAGGAAAATTTCTTACATATCAAGCGAAAAGAAATTATATTAACTTCCTATTCTTATTTTTTTTCCCAAACAAGCATGAGAAAAATGTGAAAGGAAGTCTAGTTACAACACAAGACCCTCTTAATAAAGGAATAGTGATGATAAAAGTATATATTATGAAAGGCTGAGGGATTCATAATTTTGAGATTACCAGGCGTAAAACCAACTATGTTTTGCTGGTAGATTTACATGTGAAAAGGTATGAGGATTTCATTTGCATGTACTTTCATAGAGCTTTTGGCATCATACGACAAAACTAATTATGCCTCATACCTCCTTAACTTTTTCCCAGCAAGATATAAAGCATGTAACAGTATGTGAAAGTTCAGCCAACTTTCCGCAAAAAAACTTTCTCAGAAAAAATAATGCAAAACAAGGTATGTATATGCCAGAAGTTATGTATTATACATGGGATCGAAAAATTTTCACTATAGGCCTTGTATTTAGGAAAGCAAGATGACCAATATTACTCTCAATTGTCTTATCGTTCTGGTGGGGGATTTTAATAATGTCTAATGTAATGTGATACACTAAACGATTATAATTAGTACAAGTCAACCGGTCAGTGAACTTATAAATGCAATTAGAGGCAGATTGATGTTCCTTTAAACCTTTATCAAGTTCATCCTAGGAGTATTCAAGAAAAGAAAATGGATCCAACGGATCTGATTTCTAAATTTTATAAAGAATAACCTCAAGCAGAATTCTTTCATGTCACCGTATATTCCCGTTAATAATTCACATTATCATGTAATAGCGATATAGTCGCAATTTTTATCTATTATAGGCCAGATTCCGGCAACGTTTATATTTCATAAATAAAGTATTATTTTATCGAACGTATATAAGAAACGAGTCATATGTAATGATGCCTATAAATCTAACATTTTATCTGAGCCAATCTAACCTATCAGCTATATAAAAAACGTCAGGTGATAAGTGTGAAGTCTTCACGGTTAGGGAGGCACACGTTATTCTGCTTCGTTAAAGGAAATACTCTAGTGAACGCTTTTCCTGTTGATATTAATAAGGACCAGCTTGTTGGCCACTATAAAAGCGAAAAAAAGCATCAGGGTTCGATAATTTTCCTGCAGACTATACAAAAAGGAAATCTATGGCGATCATGATGATCAGTTGTGCAATAAGAAAGATTTCAAAATATTTTCCTGACTCACTGGCCGAAAAAAGTATTCATGTCATAGTTGAACCTCCCATGTCACCCGCCACTTCGAGCTGTGAACAGGAACTGCTTAGTAAGTCACCTCGTTGCAAGTATTACTCAACAAGTCCACTCGGCAACTTACCCATTTAAAAGCCAAATAAAAATAGTACCCGAAAAATTGGTCGAAGGTAAAAACAGACGCGAAAATCTTAACTATGGTATTGAATCATGTACAACCAGGATAACAATCAGCTTGATCAAGGTCAAAAAGATGACTTTAAGCAGGGCTTTGCTCAGGCTACTGTACAGATGGAATCTTCTTTTTCTCGCAAGCGTAAAGCGAATGAAATAGACGACGAGTATGACATGGATAAAATATAGGGGATTGTAACAGATGCAGAAAAATGGTATTTTATAGAAAATGAAAGGAAACCAGTGTTTAAGCTGTCAAAGCCTCTATTTGTTACGTATGAAGATGAGGGTATGAAAGACATGGCGGAAAAAGTTCTTGGTCATATTTTATGGTTACTGGAAGAAACGCAGAAGCTGATAAAAGCTTTGGAGGAATCGAGGGAAATAAAAAGGGTAAGGTCAGGTGATCTCGCAGGAAAAAAGAATTAGGATTTAGGAATAGATACGTCTCATAGCATAGAAAATTTGTCATGTATCGCAGGCTCAGTCCCGAACCTTATATTTATTTTTGCATTAATAAAAAAATTTTTTCTTGACAAATTTCGGCGAACTCGGTTCGCTCAAAATAATGTGTTTTATTTTATTTGAATGTTTGTATATAGTGTGAAAAGGTCTTCGAAATGGAACCTGAGATTTAGACAGGAGAACATTGCTAAGATCACTGAACTTGGATCACCTGAAATGTATTTTTGCCATGCAAAAATATATAGACGTCATCTATACATCATGTAGATTGCAGAAGCTTTGTTTTTAAACGGATCTATTAATAAACCTGGCCAAGAGTAATAAGTATTTTCCCCTGATTTACACAGCTTTACGGATCATAAGACAGGGCATCATTAAAATGAAACAAAAATGGAATTTGGACGAAATGGTAAATTTTTATCACCCTATTGATTACTAGCCCATTATTTCCATTGATCATCTTGTACAAAACATGAATAGGAATTAGCAGTATGTGAATTTTTATTTTGAAAATAAACTATAGTAAAAAATTAGAGTATTAAAAATTAAAATAAAAGCATTGTGTCTTTTTGAGAACGTCAATTCAAGGTTCCTCCAGTTCTTTTTTCTCTGGTTCTTTTTCTTTTTTTAAAGTGAATGTCACATCAAATTTTTCTTTAACATTATCCAAAATCAAATGAATAGGAATTATATAAGATGCCTTACTAACTCCCGCAATAACGATCCCCCATAATTTACCATCATTATCAAATACTGGTGCACCGGAGTCCCCACGTTCAGCTGTAATTTCAAAGGAAAACAAAATAGAATGCTAATATGAAATCCATCAACTTACAAAATGTTTGTTTATTAATACCAATAACTTGCAATACAAACCTTTGATTTCTTTAGGTTTTTTTTTACCTTTCCTTTTGACAATAGGAGGATAAAAAGGCATCCACATATCTTGTATTAACCCTTCTCTGAAGAAAGTGGTTCTTCCAACCTTCTTAACATATACAAATAATCATTACTATTTACAGAGGTTTTGATATTACGAATTTGGATATGTTGTTTAAATAGCACGTTTGGTAATTTTGGAATTTCTCGATCCTTCACAGTTTCACAAAAAGTATAAACAAGATAATGACAAGCCAATAAAATTGTACTTTGTGATCTTAGCACATATGCTTGCGTCAACCTTATTATTAAAACTGTCAATCAAAAAATAATAATAGTAAAAAAATCACAACATATCAAACCTCATCGAGTGTTCCCGGTTGAACCACTTTTCCATCCTCCTTTCCCACGCCATGCTTTGCAGTTAATATAAATGTTTTATTAGATACTGCAGTATTTTGAAATAAAAGACCAAGTGTAATTGCATTTAATGGTTCATCTTGTTTACTGATACTTATGCCAGATATAAGGTCTTTGTGATATGAACGATGGTATAATTCAAGAGCTTCATAGGAAATTAACATAGGAAAGCTCTCTAATTCAGCTGGTAAGTGGACAGGTATCCCTTCTGATTGATCCACGAAAGCAACAAGAACTTCCTTATCATCTACTAATCCTTCAATTACACAAGAAAATGGAACTTTCTTATCATATCTCTTCAGAAACTCATTTTTAGCCTTATTAAGCAATTTAAATTAAATAGAGTCTTTGACTGGGAGAATATCACGTTCACCAAGCTTCTTCAGATCCATATTTATCTTTTTTTTTGTTTTCCACTTCATTTTTTTCTTTTTTTTCTATGTCTATCATAATATGTTAGAAGATAATTCTGATTCGTTAATATTTCAAATATTCTAACGTACTAACCTGTCGGATTTATTTTGTTTTTAACATATTGTTTTCTTAATTCAGTAATGCTTCTTTTATTCACATCCTTATCTATGATGAAAAACCAATCATAGGCATTTCCAGTAGCCCGTTTGATATTTTTAAAACAATTATTCGATTTGAGAATACATTAACATTTCCTTATTGTTGGCAAAAGTAAAAATGACCGCGAGTTTCCTAATATTGTAAATATCTTTAATCTGATCCAAAATAATTATGTTCAGCCAAATCTAGAAAGAACTTGTTATAACGTTTTATAATAAGAGTGGTAAATAATACAAACCTTGCATTTGTGTGTAAAATCTACATCTTTGTAGATTCTATTGTAAAACAATATATTTCCTTATTTGATATATTGTTCATCATAAAGCTGTTGTAGAGATATGTTTGTGTAATCTTTAAAAGCTACAGCTACAGAAATAAATGACATTTATTGAGTTTTATAATATATCTCGCTTGAATTACAACTATATGATTAAAAAAAGCGGTCAGCTAGACCTACCTTGACTCAATATCATTAGACTATCCAGCATTCATAAAATGGTTAAATATGGAACGTAGACAATGACATGAATAAACTCTTTAGGAGGTTGCTCCGTCCAGTAATCACCAATAATTCCTTCGAGCTTTTTTAAATTTTTGCTATCTGAGGTAAAGCTCGAAATTTCTTTTTCATCACTATAGTCAACCTATACCTACCAAAGCGTTAACTGATCGGTCTCAATATCGTTGAAAATATCCTCCCCTGCCCCTTTAATTTTCTCTTTAATATTCTTTTAAATTTTTCGACAGAATTTTCTGTGTTGGTAATAATAGTAAATTCATAATTTTCTTCATCTTGAACGTGAAGACATTTAAGAGAAATTTCAACTATAGCAATTTATTTTGTGCCTAAACACGAACGATCAAAAAAAAGGTAACGAATTTAAAAAGGGAGTAATCATTACTAATAAACGATACGACAGTGATACAGAAAATGATTAGACTGATTCATTTCATATTAGTCAACTGTAATATTTCATTCAGTTCCTCTTATTCGGGAATACGTTCATTTCTCCTCACATGGTGGCGAATTATAAAACCTATTCTTTTTTGAAAGATCTTGAATGAGAACTTGTATAGGAGGATAATAATGGAGGGATGTTTAAGCACATGAAGGACTAATACTTATCACAATAGAATGAACAAATTTATCAACCGTTATAGCGCAAATTCTACCTCAAAAACTACTAATGAGAAACTCCAAAATTCTTGCCTGAAGTAAATGCGCCAACTGCACTTCAAATCACTGGCAAATACATCTATTACTTTGAAACATCTGTCTCTAACACTTTAGGCGGAAAGTTACCTAATGAAAAGATGGTACATTAGTCGTATCTCAAGCAAGTATACCATTTACATCTTCCTCCAGTTAGACAAGATCATCTAATAGATTCAGACACCCAATTTCTATCTTACCTGAAGATCCTGAAGCAAAAACATATCATTGGGTTGGTGCTAAAGCAGTTCCATTTCCTATATTTAAGGGATAGCGACGAACGTGGTGACAGATTTAATCTTAACAGTTCAGCAATCTGTCCTATATGCAACAGAGATTATAAAGAAACTATGTAGAAAAATATAAAGGGTGAATGGGCTCAAGTGAATATTACAGAGAACGAACTTATCGTCTCACATGCTGGAATGCCTTTCAGTGTGAGAATCCCAATAGTAAATGTGAAAGCATAGACGAAAACTTTATTATGTAAGACTGATTACCTGAAATGCGCAGTACGATATCGGGAAATTCTTGCTGAGCCTTTCGATAGGTTGTTTCTTTTTTCCGAACTTTTATCATATATACCGTAGTATATATTGCTCTGTATACTTCATTGAAATCTTAGCTGGTAGATCCCATATTCTATTAGCTGGAAGTGAGAAGAGTTTTCACGGTTGTCATATGACATAACATGTATCACAAGCTAAAACTCCCCAACTTTTGTATTTATTTTTTTTATACATATCCCCAATGATGTAATAACCGATGCTAATCACTTATTTATTATATAACGCAATCAGTAGATCATAATTTCATCGGTGGTAAATATTTATGTATAAATTATTAGCTGTAAATCCTACTTCTATTGGTTGGAAGTGAGAAGAATCTTCACGGATATAGTATGCTACCTTGTTTTCTTACCTGGCTTATTAATTCAACCCTTACCATGGTACTGTAATTATATATAGGCTAACATGGATTTTTTTCATCTTAATGGCATCCCAGGAATCGATCGCATTATTTCTAATGAGTTTGAGTCATAGAGTGGTTCCCAATCTTTTCTTTGAACCTCCCCAGAGAGCTGAATCTTGTTTGGATTGCAAACAAGAAATTATAGACTCACATGTGATGTTCTGATGTGGCTATACTTTTCACATTAGATGTTATCGTGCAAATTCAGTTTGCTCTGAACAGTATCCAGAGTGCTGAAGCAATGTTATCGAACAGCTTGAATGATTCGGTTGGAAAAATATAAGTAGAGAAGAAAGATTGTTAGCTTTTATACATGAGGTGATAACTGAAGTAATGGAAATTGATAGCAATTCATCAGAAGTAATCCCTTAGGATCAGCTCTCAATGATTCTACGAAAATTATATCAAAAAATCAGCAAGACTGATTTCTATGCCATCTATTGCTATTACGAATTTGGCTTAGCAGTAATCAATCGTCTCAATGAATTAATAGAAAAAGAACAGAAGAAGGCACGAAATAAGTTAAATATGAAAGTTCAGAGATATTTACCAGCTGATACTTCTCTAGTTGTGGCAAAGGATAAAATTAAAAAGGCTAAAAAAATAATTGATATTTTTGGTTCTATAGGTCTATTTAGAATTTATTATGTTTGTTTATTTTCTATAGATCAGCTCTCATATTTTAAAGAAGATGATATCAACTTCATAAAAGCAAAATTACCAAACCCTGAGACGCCATAAATATGCGAAACACCTTGAGTGTTTTATTATGTCTTTTTTATGTCTTTTTATATCTTTATATCTTTATGTTATACGTATATACAACCATATGTCATACTTCCCTTCAATAGAAACTCTTAGCATGTGGTCTCATAGCTGATGTGAGATCATACTAGATAAATTCGTAAATTTGTTATTTTTCTCTTCAGTAGTCATTTTTAGACCGTGTGATCTTTTTTTTTCTCATAATTGATAAGTAGGAACATAATAGATAAACTTGTAGTAAATTAAAGGATAACAAATTTTATATATCAAACTCTCATATATCTAAACATTTAAGCATTTTGCTTTTTTTTCAGCCTGGTCAGCCAATTTACAATAAAATACTTTTCATTTTAAATGTGTTTTATTTTTCAAGTGATACTATGATAAAATATTTCATTCGCTTTACAATCTATTATATCACACATACAGTCATAAAAAAATACAAAATTTACTAAACTAACATAGCTATTTACAGATATAAAAATTCCGCTTTAATACAAAATAGCAAAGTAAAATAAATGATCTTTTTTGTTATTTAAAAAAGATAACTTTTGGTAGTCCAGCTCAATATAATTAATAAAAACATTAATTATTTTGGCACTTTGAGAGAATGAGGGCGTCACAGGTCTCAAACCAGAAGAAGATATTGTTAGATGTGATGTATTAGGAGAAGGAATTACTCGAGGTATTTTTAAAGTAGTTCTAGATGATGATCTAATAATTGGTCTTGGGGTTCTTGATGACTGTGATCTATTCAGTGTCGTTCCTGCATTAGTTACTCCTAAATTAAGGTGTCATCTTCCTAAAAACAATAAACATTATTTCTCACTTTAGTTTAAAAAAAAAACCTAACAGGATAGGCTATCTCCTGAAGGTCTTGACTATACATGAAGTTGAAATGGATCATTTCAGATATCCGAAATGGTCGAAATGGTCGAAATCATTTCGACCATTGAAGGCTAAAGTCGCGAAATAGTCGAAATGACGT